AAATCCATGCTTCCAGTATCGCTTTGTGAACTCAGAAAAGAATGAGGAACAAGATGGGTTTTATTCCCTTTGAGAGATTTTATCACAGCTCGGAAACACCTTGCCAAATTGCTGTAGCCTGAGAGCAGTACAGCAGAGGGCTGAATTAATAACCTCTTCATTCAATGGCAAGGTCAACTTAAAGGTCAACTATATTAGAGAAGACCACATGTGGTCTGGCATTCTGTGGTTGGTCCTGAGATTGACACTTTAGTTGAAGCCGCCATGACTGCCTGCACGGTCACATGGAATTAGCCTAGATGTGTATCAACAGAACAATGGAGAATGAAAATGTAGTACATAGCTGGGCGGTGGTGGTGCACGCCTTTAATCCCAGCACTTGGGAGGCAGAGGCAGGTGGATCTCTGTGAGTTCAAGGCCCACCTGGGCTACAGAGTGAGTTCCAGGAAAGGCACAAAGCTGCACAGAGAAACCTTGTCTTGAAAAACAAAACAAAACAAAAGTTAAATGTAGTACTACATTAAATTTAAAAAGTTAAATGTGTACTACAAAGTACACAATGAAACTTTACCTGCTTTAAAGAAAAATGAAGTTACAAAATCTGCTGGAAAAATGAATGGATCTGGAAAACACCATACCGAGGTAACCAGACCCAGAAAGATGAACATGACATGTTCTCACTCTTATGTGAATTCTAGCATAAAATGTTTAGGTTTGTATGTTTAATGTGAAGTGTTTATGAAGAAAGCTAGAAAGGTCCATAAGAGGGAGAGGTCTTAAGGAGTGAGGGGACAGTAGGACAGAATAAAAGTAGAGTAAAAATCCTAGAGGATAAAGGTTTACACAGCATTAGGAGCTTGAAGACAGAGGAGAGGACAGGGTGGGGTAAGCTAACCACAACCAGGATGGATGAAGAAGCATTATGGAAACCCACTACTTTGTAGGATAATTAAAAATACAATTTTTTGGAAAGAAGAATGAATTTGAACACAGGTACCTGCAGGGGCGGATAATGCTTCCCCTAGAAGACATGAACATCTCAGTGTCCAGTCTGAGATGCTTCCTTGTGAGTTATCAACTAGGAAAGCCCAGCGGCTCCATAAACAACACAGACTATTGTCATTGTTCTTGGCTGCTGACCATAACTCCATGTTAAGAGACTATTGCTGAAGACACGTCACACTTGTTGTGGGATGTAGAGAAATCAAGCTGGAACTGACCTGAAAATTCCCTCCCTGCTCACGTGCATAGTGCCAAAAGGTGCCAGGCAGGATGCAGGTGGGAGAAAAGCACCAGTGAATACCTGGTGGTGAACCGTGCCTCCTGTAAACTGACTTTCCAGGGAAAATATGCCAATTGGTGTAATATAGTGGCATGAAAGTTATGGGGTAACCAACTGCTTTCAGACTGAATTTGAGGCCTGCTCCACAGGAGAGAATTCATGCTTGGCACTGTAAGCCTGGTCAAAAGTCCATGACTGGGGAGGTCATAGGTCATGGGAGGGGTAACTTATTGTCTTACTAACTTGCCTTCTAAATATTTGTGTTTGTGCGCATATATTAGCGCTTCCTTCAATTTTGGTCAGAGACTCCTCTCTGCAGTGGGCATTAGTTAATGAAGAGGCTCATAGCTGGCCAAAGTACTGAGGATAAGGGACCACCGAATAAGATCTTTGTATTGGCACCTCAGGGAACGTGGTGGAAGATGAGAAGAAAGAGGTTAAGAGGTAGAGGATGGGGAGGGGTGCCCTGAAATGCTGTCTTCTGAACACCAACTCATCTACGGTTAGGAGCATCAGACCGGCACAAGATCAAGCCAACAAGATCAGCCAACAGTCCAATAGGCAGCACAAACAGGACATGCTGAGGGTTCCTGGGGAAGTAGGAGGGAGAAGCTGAGAACGACTATTATCAAGATACATTGTTTACATGTATGGACTCGTCAAAAAAATATGAACGAAGGATGCTCTATTTTTAAAATAACTAAGGCTGTTTCCATTGGTGTGCATCTGAGTTCAAGTTTAGGAATCTGAGTACAGATATAAATCAAGAGTGTCATGTGGAGGCAATTTTTTGGGTCATTGGATCTAAGATTGGAGTCTGGGTTGGCATTATTTTGCAGAGCAGGAAAGAGTTGCTATCAGGATCATTCATGGGCTAACTTATTTCATTCGGGATTGTAAAATTCTTGTTCTGATAAATTTTTATAATTTTATTTATTTATTTATTTTTATGGAATAGAAGACTAGAGAGCAGTTTTCAGAGAAGATGATGTAAACCAAGAGTTCATCGAGGATAAGTGGAAAAGAATTGACTGGAGGTAATGGAGCTGAGGAAATTCAGCTTGAGGGAAGAGGTAAAGAGGCCGACTGCATTCTTGGCAGTGCCCTAGCAGCAGGCTTGAAAGGAGGAAGGGAGTGTGTGTGTGTGTGTGTGTGTGTGTGTGTGTGTGTGTGTGTGTGTATGTGTGTGTGTGTGTATGTGTGTGTGTGTATGTGTG